TCTTCTTCTTCTTTTTTTTTTTGGCTTATAAGTTTTCGGACTAGTATTAAAGGAAAATATTACGGAACCATTCCATCGGATTTGTAACAGTTAGATCATCATGTAACCGTCAGAAATAGTTGATCTAACGGTTACAAATTTCAACGAATGATTCCGTAATGGGAGTAGCATCTCCCAATATCAAAACTTTTGTGTCTTCAATTGTAAGTTTTTTATTTTATATTTTTTCGACAACTTGTAATGTGTAGTGATCAAATGCAGGGGATTTGGGTCAGACTTATGACTCAAACTCGACACTAACACATTTCGAGTCGAATCCAATCAAAGGGGAAACGGTTTTGTTCGTGGGCGACCTTTCGTATGCAGATAAGTATCCGAATCACGACAACAATAGATGGGATACTTGGGGAAGATTTGTCGAGAGAAATAATGCGTATCAGCCTTGGATTTGGACTGCTGGCAATCACGATATCGATTTTGCCCCTGAAATCGTGAGTTCTTTTTTTTTCTTTCTTTCTTTTTTCCTAAACGTTGTGTTATGATGCATGCATGATTGAAGGTTAACGAACACAATTTAGTATAAGGTGGCTTCAAGATTGTAGTTATTATCGATATTATAATTCGTGTCATCGATATTATAGTTCGCATTATCGATATGTAGATTGCATTTAAATCAATGATAAACTCGTCTCGGCTTGTTAATTGTAGGGTGAGCCGGAACCATTCAAGCCTTACACTACCCGATATCCCGTTCCATATAAAGCATCAAACAGCACTTCACCCCTTTGGTACTCAATCAAGAGGGCTTCGGCACATATCATTATTTTATCGTCATACTCGGCTTTTGGTAGGTACTTAAATTGCAATTTTGGTCATATTAGATTATGAAGTTAGTAAACTAGGTCCCACTAAAGTAACATATATCAATTTAAGTCATACAATTTTAAATTTTGCTGCAATATCGTTCATTTGACTTAAATCGCTTTCTGATGGTCAAAATGAGTGAAATTGCAACAGAACATCAAATTTTAATGCAGAACTTATTCTAATCAAAACCCATTTCAAATATGAATTGGGAATTTTGACGGCCAAATGACTGAAATTTCACCAAAATTTTAAATTACAGTACTTCAAATGCTATATCGCTCAAGTGGAACTTAAATTGCTACCTTTGTAAACTTATTTCACAAGCTTTCTAGTGTATGAGCTAAATTTAGCAAAATTAATTATATGCATGTTACTTGAATATATATGCTGTTTTTATCCTAGGCAAGTACACTCCACAGTACTTATGGTTAGGAGCCGAGTTTAGAAAAGTGAATCGAGAAGAAACACCGTGGCTGATTGTTCTCGTCCACTCGCCATTTTATAACAGCTACAAATATCATTACATGGAAGGTGAGACCATGAGAGTGCTGTTCGAACCTTGGTTCGTCAAGTACAAAGTCGACATAGTCTTTGCTGGCCATGTCCATGCGTACGAACGATCTGTAAGTACTCTTTAAGCATGCATTAATCATATTTCGTTAAAATTAGTTGCTTATTTTCTTTGTCTTAAATCATTAAATAACTATGCAACATTATATGGAAACCGGAAAATTGGCTCGGAAAATTGCAAGATCTTGGCTAGATATCAAACGGAATCAAAGTTATGAAAGCGCGTATGGAACATTTGAACTCTTATAAACTAAGCTAGAGCTTATGAAAGAAAGACTTGAAAAAAACTTAGCCCAATATCATTGCTTTATTACATTTACTTTAACAGGAGCGCATATCAAATTCTGCATACAACATCGTAAACGGAGAGTGCACTCCAGTGAATGACCAATCTGCCCCTGTGTACATAACCATCGGCGATGGTGGAAA